GGCGGGCAATGTTAATAATTAACGTGATTGAAATAGACTCAAGGGGAATTGAATTAACACATGATTGTAAGTCTTGGGGTGGATGGGGGTGTGGGTGCAGGAATACAGGGTTCAGGGGCTGCTGCATGGTACTGCCTTGTCTCTGCTCATCACACAGGCAAACCCTCAGTGTCCGTTTAGCACCTGTACCCAGCACGTGGAGTGCCAGCTCCATACTGGGTGCCAAGCCCAGCCAGAGGGAGTTTTATTTCTTCCATCCTCTGAAGGGGCTGCGTGTGTGTCCCTGGGAGGGACGGGGGAAAGTGTTTGAGATTTAGATTACAGCCAACTGACATGCTGCCTGTTGAACCACAGGTGTTCCTTGTGTCACTCGCGGCTCTTGCTCCATAAAGATGCACCTAGGTAAGCCCAGTGGCTGGGAGGCCGTCGGGTGGAAGAGGAAGGGAGGAGGGGAAATGGGGGAGGCTGGGCAGTCAGCCACACTCAGTGCCTGCCAAAAATGTGTGTGTGTTTGTGGAAGGTGGCAGTAGGGTTCCAAAATGAAAACGCCCTGAGAGTTGGAGAACAATTTACCCAACCTTCATCTCCCTCAGTCTCCGACCTCCGGAGTGAAACCAGCAGATGCTTTTCCCACTGCACACGGGGCCTGGGGAAGTTAGAGGTCACATAAAAAACCACCCAGCTTCCAGGAGACAGCAGGTGATTGCCCCCCAAGGAGCACTTCAGGACGCCAGACCACTTAGTCTGGTCACTACAGAAGTAAGCCCACGGGCCCCACAGCTAGGAGGCTGGATGGGCCCCTCTAAGTGGGTTTCCTGTAGGGGGATGACATGGGGTCGAGCCACAGAGAGCTCCAAGTGGCGGGAGGCAGGAAAAAGGCCAAGACCTGGGACCAGAAGCTCATAAGCAGGAGCCAGCAAACCCCTCTGGGAGCTGAGCAGAGACTGGGCTATGGGCCACAAGGGGGCACACTGGGGGATGGGATGTGTAGGGTTGGAAGCAGAAGAAGCAGGGTTCCCCTCTGCATGTGCCTCCCCTATTGTCATGGAATTTGGCCCAGGTTGGGAGGGCAGATGATTGGTGGAGTGAAGACAGGAACCCACTCCTCCCAAGTGTCCCCACACCACCGGGGGGTGGGGAGGGTGGGGGGGTGGGGGACGGAGCCAGCTCCTGCAAGAGCTAATGAATTTGCGTGGCTTTGAATATGAGTTCGTTGTTGGGAGAGTGAATGAGGGAATGGTTGGCAGGCGAGTGACCAAGTCTCAGGAGCTCGGCTGGGGCTAGGGGTGTGGGTACAAAACCAGCACCAGGGGGAAGACAGGTGTTTTCAACAGAACAAAATTACCAAAGTGGCTGCTTTTCTTTGCTTCGTCTCCCACAGGTCCCAAGGTAGGAAAGTTCTCCTGTTCTCCACCCTGCTGCTGTGTCCTCCAGACCCCAGCCTCCACCCCAGAGCCTCGGGAAACAAGCCACCACTTCCCCCAGATGAAGAGCAGGGCGTGGGCTCAGGCAGCAGGCACTGCTGCATTTGTCCACCCCACCCCCCCACCCCCCACGGCTGGAGCCTCCCCTTGGCATTCTCTCTACTTTCCCATCTGTCTCCCCAGCCACCTGTCCTCTCTCCTGCTGCTTCCCCGCCTGTTCGATCCTGCTTCTCTGTTTCCTGCTACCCCCACAGCACTGCTAGATGGCTGGCTTGCTCCCAGTTGCCCCGCGGGTGCCCCCTGGACCTGCCTCTGCGGAGAAGGGAGGCTGCCCTCCCTCCCCTCTCTCCTGCCACCACCACCAGCAGATGCAGCTCCCAGGCCTGGGTCTGTGACCCCGCCAGGAAAACAGCCACGGAGGGAGAGGCAGACGGGGTGGGAAGAGGCTGTTCCAGGCATCGCTGAGCCTGGATGAGGAAGGGGCTGGCCTCAGGAAAGCCCCCAGCCCTGGAGCCAGCCTCTTCCCCATTGGTGCCAAGCCCTATCCAGGCCCTAAGGGCAGAAGTGACCTGGGGAGTCCTCCAGTGCCTGCGGTGGGGGCTCAGCTCCAGCCTGGCTTCACAGGGCCCCAGGCCCACAGTGCGGAGCACAGAAGCAAGGCGGAGTCTCCCTCCTTTTCCCCGGCCCTGTAGCAAGAGGCAAACAAACCTCTGTGGTCTTAGGGCCTCAGGAGGGGTTCCAGCCAAGACAGAAGGTTAAGCCACACTTTCCCCAGGCCTTTTCTGCCTGAGGCAGGAAAGCTTTGACTTTACTTCCATTTAAAAAATCATGTAAAGCTTTTTTTCTTTTTTATTTTTTTTTAATTTTATTTATTTTATCTGAGAGTTAGAGTTACAGACAGTGTGAGGGAGAGACAAAGGTGTTGCTTCTGTTGATCTGATGGCCACAACGGCCAGAGCTGCACTGATCTGAAGCCAGGAGCCAGGAGCTTCTTCCAGGTCTCCCATGTGGGTACAGGGGCCCAAGGATTTGGGACATCTTCTGCTTTTCCAGGCCACAGCAGAGAGCTGGATGGGAAGTGGAGCAGCCAGGACTAGAACCGGCGCCCATATGGGATGCTGGTGCCACAGGCGGAGGATTAACCCACTGTGCCATGGCGCTGGACCTGCTTTTTTTCATTTTAAAAATCCCCATTTTTGTTTTATTTGAGAGGTAAAAAGACAGACAAAATATCTGTAGCAACCAGAGCTGGGCCAGGCTGAAGCCAGGAGCCTGGAACTCAATCCCACGTGCTTGGCAGGGACCCAAGCACTTAAGCCATGAGCTGCTGTCAGTGCGCATTAGCAGGAAGCTGGAGTCAGAAGCAGAGCCGGGAATCAAACCCAGGCACTCCGACTCGGGATGTGAGCATCCCTAGCAGCATCGTAACCACTGCAAATGCCTGCCCCTGACTTCACCTTTTATTCTCCCTGATTTCTAGGGTCTGGTACTTGCTCAGGGCCATGGGCTCACATACACCCATTCTCATATATCCATGTATCCTATGCACATATCTACGTACACAGCAGGCATGTACCCACCCATTCACATGTCCACAGACACGGCTGTTTGTATGTAGATGAAGGATACCCTGCCTGCCACCACAACCCTTGCTGGTGCCAGGAATCCCAAGTCCCCTGGGGAGGGGCTTGAGGGAAAGCTGATCTCTAACTCATTGCCCATTTGGCTTTCCACAGGGACACTGCCCTGGTGGCCATCCTCCAGGTCAGTGTGGGCTACCCCCTGGCCATGGCCCAGGGCACTGTCATGGAGGGGGCCTTGCCATGGCCCAGGGCACTGTGGGCCCCCTCCTGGCCATTGCCCAGGGCACTGTGGGCCCCATCCTGGCCATGGCCCAGGGCACTGTGGGCCCCCTCCTGGCCATGGCCCAGGGCACTTTTGGCCCCATCCTGGCCATGGCCATGGCCATGGCCATTGCCATTGGCACCGTGGGCCACATTACTGAAGAAACAGAAGAAAACAAGCCGAAAGAAGGAGGAGCCTGAGTGGACTGCCCCGTGGATCTGGCATGAGGCCCGAACAGAAATCCTGTCTTCCTAATAAACAGCCTGTTGAAGGCCATGTCTGTTCTTCAAAGAGCCTGTCTTCCTTCAAATCCAACCTGGGGGCCCAGTGTCTCTGATTCCAGTATGAAAAGGAGGCGTGCAGCCTGGCCGGCTCAGAAGCTTGGCTCAGTGGCGCCCACAGCGTGTGGTACCTCATATAAGGTCACAACTCTTCCTGGTCACCCTGCCCCCTCCCATCAGGGGACCCCGAGTATGGCCTCGTCACCTGCCCCCTGCACCTGCACTCCCAGAGCCGGTGGGCCTTCCAAGGTTCCAGTCTGCGTGCCTCAGTCTGTGGGTCAGAAGCCTTCCATGGCCCCTTACCACCCAGATGGCTTTCTTACCATTCCCTGAAACACGCTGAACTTGGCAATTCCCCTGCCTCCCACCTCAAGTCAAGGCTGCTTTCCCTCTCTCTTACCTCCACATTCCCAAAGGCCCCCAACCCAGGGCAGCACCACCATCACTACCCTTCCCGGGCCTGTTGGGAAGGAAGAGGTTGTCCCTCTTTGCACAGGGCTCCTACCTTGCAGCAAGCTCCAGGGAGCAGAGGGTATCACCAACTCATGGCCCCGCCCCTGCCCAGCTGGCACCAATTTAGGGCCTGGCCCTTTATCTTTCCAACCAAACTGTGCGCTGCTCGGGGCAGACCTACCATTTGCACACCTCTAGATTCTCCCGCCCCAACCTCTAACCTGTGCCTGGTATGGAACTGGCACTGGCACACATTTCAGGGAAGGCTGCAATCCAAACGCCCCCCGAGTTCTGACTCTTCCCAGCCTAATGCCTTCAGCCACGGCACCTTCCTGTACCCAAGGCCAGGCCCTGAACAGCCTGCTTGCTGCGAAACCCTTTCTGCTTACCCTATCCAAACCCCAGATCCTGACCCGACCGCCCAGGCTTGGCGCCCCGCCCCCATTTCTTCTGGCCCTGCCACCCTCTAGCCAGGCCTATCTATGGGTCACCAGACCCAGATGTGCCCTACTCTCTGCCCTCACGTAGCTGCCTCCCGAGAAGGGGGCCAGCCAGCGGCCTGGAGTCTGGAGCCTGGGTCCCTGCCAGGCAGCCGTGGGACCCAGGGGTGGCTGTGAGAAAAGAGGCTGGGGAACCTCCAGGGTCTCCCTTCTCCATCTTCTCCATACCCCGAGGCCCGGTGCAGACAGATGAACGGGAAGAGACTCGAGCAGATACCCCGCCGAGGGGGAGAGGAGGGCGCGAGCGGAGACAAACGTGGGACTCGCCCGACCTCTCGGCCACTCGCTGTCCCGCTCTACGAAGCGCGGGCGTGAGGCCGCCCTCTGTGCGGCTGGATGAGTCTGTCTTTGGAGCTGCGAGGCTCTCTGCACGTTGTGAGGATCGAGGCCCACCGCAGGAGCCGCACCGCCAGGGAGGAGGCGCCCGCCGCGCCAGCTCCGCGGTCTTCCAGACAGCCGGGCTGCAGCACCGCGCGGCGCCGCCCCGGGCAGCCTCGTCCCTGCCCTCCGCGCCGCGCCCATTGGTTGGGTTTCTTCTCGGCCCCGCCCAGCGACGGGAGCCAGGCGCTGACGCATGCGCACGAGCTCGCCGCCGCTGCCGCCGCTTCAGCACCAGCGCCCGGACAGCGGCGCCGCCCACGGGCATGGACGCTGGGAGCAGCGGTAGCGGCGGCAGCGGACCGGCTCGAGGCCCGGGTCCCGAAGGGGAGCAGCGGCCCGAAGAGGAGCCCTTGGCTCCAGACGGCAGCTCCCCGGACAGGTACGGCGGTCGGCTCCGCAGACCCAGCTCGCAAACCTTCCCAGCCCCTCCCCCCAGGTAGCCCCAGTAGCCGCCATATGTCGCCCCACTCATTCCCCAGTCTTCCCAGAGCCCCTGCCCGGAGTCGTGACGTTCCCGGCCTCCCTCACCGCTCCATCCATCTTGCTGGGTCAATTTGCTCGCTCCCCGACACCCTCGGGTGCCAGCCTCCCATTGCTCTCACTGCCTGGGGGACTTGCCCCACCCACTGTTCGAACCGATTCCCCTGCCTTGCGTGCGCCACCCCCCTCCCCGACCGCGGACCCTGGTCCTGCGTCTTTTCAGGATGTCACTAGCCCGCAGCAACCTCAGTGTAGGTCCGCAGGTCCGTGTGCACGGGGACGCGCACGGACGGCAGATGGGAGACTGGCCAAGGCGGGTATCTGGGGGAGGGCAGCCACGTCAAGAGCTGTCTTTGTCCGTCCCTGTCAGTCGCTTGCCTGCCGTGCATCGCCCCAGGCTGTGGATGTGTGGCAGTCACTGTCATTCTCTGGAGCCGTTAACGGGGAGGCAGGCTGAGGCTCAGGCCCTGGGTCTGCACCTCCCCCGAAGGCCGAGATCTCCGTGTCTGGCTGTCTCTTCATCCACCATATGTGTGAGGAAGAGCCCAGCCAGGTAGCAGCAAAATGGCGCAATTCCTGTGCCCTGCTTGGCTCTGCTGCCCCCAGAATCCCTCCTTTGACAGGACACTGCCTTTTTCCTGCCTCGACTGAAATCAAAGGAATTTTTCAAGGGGAAAAAGCAGAGGTGGATATTGTCTCCAGACTGCCCCCAGTTAGAAGTGTACATTCTGTCCCTGAGAGAGAAGAGAAAGCCCCACAAGTAGGGGGAACCTCTCACTTCTCTCCGTTGTTACCGCTTCAGCCCAGATAGGTTGTCTGAAAGGCACAAAGCTTTCTTCAACAGGGTGAGAGGGTGGGTGTGTTCCCCTAAGGGAGGGGGCTAGCCTGGAACCTCAGCCTGAGAAGCTGGTATGAAGCAGTGACAGTAAGGGAAAGACCTGGGGCCAGAAGCATCCCTGCAAGGGACTGGAGAGTCGTGCTCTGTCTCAGATACCTTTATCTTGCAAAGGATCAGTCCTGTCCCGTCTGCTCATTTCCCTGGGCACAGGAGCCACTCGCTCTCTTCCGGTGATTCCCTGGACCCGACACCTCCCTTTGCCAGACACCAGGGACACTAATCAGGCATAGGGACTCAATTTGATTCAATTCAAGAAACAAAATTATGCTCCTGCTGAGTTCAGCTGCACTCTGCAGATAGATACCCAGTGAATACTAAGATGGCACACACAGCACAAACACATTGGCTGCAGAGCCATTCGAAACAGTTACATGTTTTTAAAATTACCTTTTGATTTCCCTGATGGTGTGAGCTGCTCCTCACCTGTCCTGGCCATTCTGCATGTGAGCTTGTGGGCTTGGGGGCTCCCAAGCTGGAGCCGTGTGTCCGGGGTGCTGTGGCCTCTTCTGTGAGGTCTGTACCACCACTTTCCCTCCCGCCGCCTGCTGTCTGTCTGCCTCAGTCACTTGGCTGACAGGGCAGCAGGCTCAGGCAGGCAGCCCAGAAAGTTACTCATCCCCATCAGGGGTGGAACTAAGAGGGTGAGAGTGAAAAGCCCAGGAGAAGCCAGGCCGGGGGTGCTTAACTCCCTGTGGTTATTGGGCTCTCCTGAGAAGGGAGGGCAGCAGGGGCTGGCAGGAGAAAGTTTTTATTATGAGAAGAGTGGAATCTGGCTTTTTTCATTAGGAGGGTTGAGAAACAGGCCTGGCTCTACAGCAAATAGAATGTGGAAGGGTGAGGGTGAGGTTGGAGGCAGTTCATCCTAGGTCCCTGAGGAGGAACAGAAGGAGCTGACGGGACGGAGCTGGGACCAGGGAGACCCCGGCGGCAGCAATCTCATGGAAGCCAGGATCTCCCTTGAACAGCAGCCAGCTAAGGAAGGGGTAGGCTCCCGGGGTCTGGGGGCCTGGTTAGGACGCTGAGGGCTCCCACACTCCTGCAGTGCCCTCAGAAGTGCTGGCTTCCCTGACTCAAAAAACTGACTCTCCAAACAGGGGGCTGCCTCCCAGGAAGTCCAGCACTGAGTGCTGCTGTCAGGCTGTGGGCAGCTGGCACAGACCCCTCACCTCCACCTCGACTCCCCGTTCTCCTGACTCTGGGAAGGCAGGCCCTGCTGTATAGAGGGAAGCCAAGGCTGACAGATCATCCTCAGGCCTTCAGGACCCAAGCCAGACCGAGCCCAGGGCCAAGCACATGGCAAGTGCTCAAAAAAACACTTGCAGAATTAGGCCGGCACTGCGGCTCACTAGGCTAATCCAGCCACGGGGGACTTACACAGCCATCCTGCAGGGAAGGGCCTCCTGGCTCTGTAGGCTGCAGCCTCACGTGCCCAGGACAAAGCCACAGCCGGGTGGGGCCGCATTTGCTGGCCATGTGCTTCCCAAGTGTTACTCACACAGTATGTCACATCTCGGAGCAGCCCCCACATTCCCCTCCTTTCTCCCGAAGCTGTGGTTTGCCCGTCTGCTCCCACAGCAGACAGAGGCTCTCTGAGGGCAGGAGCCCAGTGCCGAGCGCCTCTGGGTGGCCAGGGCCTGGCAGTGTCCCTGCCCGCTGCAGTGCCTGCCCCAGGGAGTGCTTGCAGAAGAAAGACATGAGAGAGACAGGCTGTCTTGTCCCTGGGCCGTGACTGCCTCTCTGTCCACCAGGAGCGCAGGCAGCCCTGACAGAGCTTGGGGTGCTTCCCCCTTGTACTGGGGAGAAACGCAGGGGCAGCCGGCTGGGACACAGGAGGGCCTCCGGCGCCGTGTTACCCAGGGACCTTGTCGCCACCACCCCGCGCCGCCACTAGAGGGCAGCAGAGTTGCAAAGGCCTGGACTTGGCGGTCGGGGGCGTTTCCTGGCCGGCCCCTCCCGCCCCAGTCCTCTCTCGCAGGTCTTCGTAACCCTCGCCCCACGGAGCTCCAAATCACTCGGTTGTTAAAGCCTTGTTTTACGGATGAGTGAAACAAGGCCCAGAGGGGGCGCCATCTGCCCGAGACGCACAGCCCCCGCGCGTGCACAGGTGAGACTTGAGGCTGGGCGCGGCCTCCTTCCTGGGTGGTGGCCGCCAAGAGCTCCCTGCGCCTTTCCTCCTTGAGGCCAGAGTTCCCCGGGCTGCCCCTCCACCCTCCCAGGCCCACCCCGACCATATTTGGACCTTATCTGCTGTGGTAAGAATACAGATCTGGAGCCGACCCTGGGAACAGGATGGCGGGTCCGGAGTCCAGTTGAGTTGGGGAAGAGGGGTGGGAGGCCTGCCGGGGCGGGGCGTGCAGACTCCTGGCTCACACACCCAGTCCCAGCCGCCAGAGGCCCATGCTGGGGGAGCAGCGGCCGGGCAGAGGCCCACGCAGGTGCAGGCGCTGAGCCTGCATCCCGCGCGGTTACAGAGGGGGCGGCCTATCCGTGGCAAGGGCTGTGGCCTTGCCCTTCTCCCTGAACCTGTCACAAGGTGAGGGAGGCTGTGTCCCTCTGTTGCACTCATGAACTAAAACAAAATGTTACAAAAACTAGTGACAGTCACACATGAATTTTATTGAAAATGAGAAGCAAATGAGAGGCAAGGTAACCGATCAGGACCGGCCACCGATCGGGACCAACACTCCTTACCAGAATGCGGCCCCCAACAGTGGGTTACGCAGCTTTTTATAGTATTCTGTCCACTAGGGCTCACAATTTTGAACCGGACCCCTGATATGCAGTGAACAATAAAGAGGAACACCAGAATATGTTTGTCAATTAACAGTTAACAATAGCAAACCCAATAGCAGATCCAAGATAATGGTTGTAAGATAACAGTGGAGGACACATTTTAGTCACCTAGTTCCTGGGAATTTGGACCCATATAACTTCCCAAGATACACCCTTAGATGTTATAGCAAAGCTAATATGTACAGAAGCAAGAGATATGCAATTGGCTTTTAGGTACACTCACTCCATTTTGACTCTGATTCTACACCTCTCTCTGTTTCTACTTATAAAGTGAGATATTGATACTGGGCAGTCATCCGGAAATAAAACGAGGTAACATCCAGGCCTGCAACCACGTGTGGCTCACAGTGAGCCTGCCAGCAGCAGGCTGCAGTGCCTTAGCCTGGGCCCACGAGGAGTTTTCCAGAAGGAGCAGGACTCGGGCAAAGGGATCACAGGGACGTGAGAGGGCACTCGTGGACGCACGCCAGGGCGACGCGGGAAGAGGCAGGGCCCTGGGGGGCTTTCCCCGCGAGAGGGCACCCGTTAGGAAAGCCCCAGGCAGACTGGGGAGGCTGCAGAAGGGCTCACCCAAGGTCTTAGAGCAGGGGCTGGTGAGGTTCCAGGAGCTTTAGCCAGCCTGGTGCAGAGGGCTGCTGGGCTGGGCTTAGGGTGGGGCCACTGGCAGGCTAAGTCCAGAGAGTCACTGCAGGGAGGTGGCGTGCCACGCCCTGGGGAGTCCAGGGAAGGGGTGAGCAGTGGAACCTTCTAGAGGCCTCAGAGCTTGCACGTGGCCTGGGGTGGGCACAGCAGGCAGAGGAAGAGCCAAGACAGCATCAAGGTCTCAGGTCTAGGGGCCTGCAGAGGCAGGGAGCAGGGGGGCTGGGTGCGGGTCCCAGGGCGCTCCTTTCTCTGGGCGGGGAGGAAGGAGCCCCCACCGCCAGGCTCACCACAGCCTCTGGAAGGCAGAGAAAGATCTGGCAGTTCTGAGGGGTGGCGAGGACAGGAGCCCACTAGAAAGGCCATAAAGATGGGGGAGCTGGCCAGGCCCCCGAAGGAGAGGGAGGGCCTCTGGAGTGGCTGTGGGCAGCCTGGCTCCCGGATTGTGTCCGGCCTAGAGACAGGCAGCCCGGGTGACAGACAGCTCCGGAAGTGCCGAGCCTGGGACGACATGGTCACCACTGGGAGGGAGGCAAGGTGACCCATTGACCGGATGTGTCGGGCACTGT